GCGTAATGCCTGGCCAACGCTCCCACAAGTAGTGCCTGGCCACAGCGCCCTGCCACCAGGAAGCGGCCGCCCGACGGGCGGGGGAAAGGTCGCGGCGCCCACCAGGGGCCCCCACCGCACCCGGGCCGAGCGCGCCTGGGCTCGAAGTGCCGGAGCTGCCCCAGGAGTCGGAGCTCACCACCTCGGATCCGGGCGCCGCCGCGAGCGGGAGGGGAGGCGAGGCGAGGGGAGGGGAGGGGAGGAAAGGAGAGGGAGGCGAGGGGAGGAGAGGGAAAGGAGGGAGAGAGGGAGGAAGAGCTGCGTACCACTTCGGACCAGGTCTGATCCAGGCCCCGCAAGCGGGTAACGGCCGCGCGAGCCTGCCCCACAAAGCGGGAAGCGCCGCTGAAAGAGCAGGGGTGGGGTGCAGCCCTGCTACCCTCCCCCCTGGCGCGGTCGGAAAGACCCCGACTGGAAAGCAAAGCGGGCAAGTGGTGAACAAGCCACTCGAGGACCCGTTTGCATACCCGAAAAACAAGCGCCCGCTGCAAGCGCGCTTTGGCGTACGCGGCTCGGTGCCTCAGTGATACGTGGCGCTGTCTTGGGGCATCCCCCGCGGCGGCCCGGTGCGACAGCCACGGAGCAGTTGTCAATTGTTCTCGCAGCACTCTCGGGAGAGAAGACGCCAGCACTGGCGTGCTGAGCGGTGAGCACGAAGGCACGCTTGGAGGTTTCCCTGGAGCAAAAACCCAGCAACAGCGGCAGGGCGGAAGGGCCGCTGCAGGCCATTCCAGGCGGCCTGCGCTCGGTAGAACCTATCGGCGGAATAGACTGTTCCAGGATGGTTCGGATTGCTTCAGCAAGTTAGTCGGCTCGGTGCTGCAGCGCCGTGGTGTTAGCGATGAGGGCCGTTTCGCGCTAACGCTCTGGCTGTCGCCCTGCAGCCTCGAGGCACTGCGCGAGGGATCGCCTTCGGTCCGTTCGTTGAGTCACCGTTCGAACGAGGCCCTCTCCGCCTCTGGATGAAGGAAGAGCGCTGTTCCCTGAACCCTAGTGGGAGGGGAAAGCGTCCTCTTGATCAGGCAGATTGGCTGTAGAAGCTGGGTCCTGGTGGACGTCCGCCGCATGGGCCAGCACATCTGAGAGTCTAGGCTGACGCCGGGCCGTGCTTTCGTCGTCCGCGTCATGCCCCTGGCTAGTGACCTCCTGGTGAGGCAGCAGCTTCCATCGTCATCATTCACTGACGCCCCGAGCCCGAGCGGGAGAGAGGGGAAGGAGGAGGAGGAGGAGGAGGAGAAGGAGGAGGAGGAGGACGACGACGAAGAGAGAAGTCGACACTGCTCCTCCCCCGGTCCCTCGGGCAAACCCACGGGCGCAGGAAAGACTCAAAGAGGCCGCTTCGTCGTCGTCGTGGTCGTCGTGGTCGTCGTCGTCGTCGTCGTCGTCGTCGTCGTCGTCGTCGTCGTCGTCGTCGTCGTCGTCGTCGTCGTCGTCGTGGCCGCCGCCGCCACCGCTGTCGTCGTCGTCGTCGTCGTCGTGGTCGTCGTCGTCGTCGTCGTCGTCGTCGTCGTGGTCGTCGTCGTCGTCGCTCCCACGGCTTACACGATGTACATGCGTCCTAACGCGAGCAGCCAGGCAGGGAAGCGAAAGCCACGCAGATGTCATAGCGGCGGTCCCCACGCCCAGTCAACCTGACGATGAACCCTGCTTGATTGATCATCCCTCCACGACCTCCATGGTCCACGCAGGGCCCGAAGCTGCGCAGAAAGACGAATGAGAAGGAAAAGGCAGGGAGAACGAGACTCTCGAGAAGGTGGAAGAGGAGGACGAAAGAAGAGCAGATAGGATAAGGAAGAGGAGGAGAGGCCAAGAGGACCCCGCATCCCGTCGGGAAGGACCGCAGCTCATTTCGAGATTTCGGAAACTTCCTAAGGCCCCCGAGGCGAGCCTGAGTAAAAAAACAAGAGGTGTCGAACGGGAGCGTCGCTGTTATTGATGATGTTGTTATTCGGGGGGCTGGTATGGCGGGACCTCGAAACGCCTGAGCGTGAGTTTCGACTTCGCAGGAAATGCGGCCGGCGCCCAGGCGAGAGCCCCAGGGCGTATTCAGGGAATCCAGCAATAATGATTGTTTAATGATAGAACTCCCAGTGGCTCTGGAAGCCTCCCACAGGCGATGCTGACACGAGGGCCGCAGTTTTGAGTAAAACGCCAGGAAGTGCCGAGCGGGCGCGCCGTTGTTGTAATGGTGGGCCGTTTGCGGCGCCGAGGCGAGAGCGCCGATCCTGCGTAAAAGGCGAGGACGTATCGAGCTGGAGCGCTGGTTCTGTGGGAAAGCCGCCTTCCGGCGCCGAGGCGAGAGCGCCGATCCTGCGTAACGTGCTGAGAAGTATAGAGCCGGAGCGCTGGTTTGGTGGGAAAGTCGGCTTTCGGCGGTCAGCAAGAGCACCTGGCCTGAGTAAAAAGGGAGAAAGTATCGAGCTGGAGCGTTGTTGTTGTTGTTGGGGGGGCGGTTTGGCGAGACACCGAAACGCTTGAGCGTGAGCCTCCATTTCAAAGGAAATGCAGCCGGCCCGTAGGCGAGAGCACCAGAGCTGATCAAAGGGGTCCCACAATAAGAACTGTTGAGCAATTAAGGTTCAACCACATCAACAACAACAGCAACAACAGCAACAACGACGACGATACCAACAACAAGAACAAGAACAACAACAACAACAACAACAACAACAACAACAATGACAACAACAGCAACAACGAAAGCAAAAATCATCAATCACAACAGCAACAACAACAACAACAAAAACGACAACCACAACAACAACAACAACAACAACAACTACAACAACAACAACAACAACAACAGCAACAGCAACAGCAACAACAACAACAACAACCATAACAAGAACAACACCAACAACAACAAAAACAACAACCACAACAACAGCAACCACAACAACAATCCTTTTAAGACTGTTCGCTCCTATCTGCTCACGTGCCACTCAGTACGTGTACCCGAAACCCTCGGTACCCGCCCTCGTCGTCTTCGATCGTACCTCCTTGGGGGTAGATCTTCCTTACCTGCCACGTGCATTCTGTGCAGCTCCTTAAACAAGGGAAGAGAAGACGGGTGGAAGGGGAATGGAGCACGAGAGAAATTAGCAGGAGGGGGGCAAGAAGCAGAAAACAAGTGGTAGAACCAGACGGGCAGATCGGGTGGCAGACCCATAGCGGGCAGGTCGGGAAGGCAGGCCCAGGCGACCAGGTCGAGCAGGCGGGTTGCTGAAGCGTGGGTCCTGCATGAGATTGCTGACCGCCGAGGGCGCATCCTCTGAATAAATTGCGAGGAAATCCCACTCGAGAGCGCGATTCGTAGAGAAACTGTGAGGATGTCCCGCGTAAGAGCGCGATTTGGGAATAAAGTAAGAGGAAATATGAGGCGGGAGCCGTTGTTGTTGTAAACTGGCGGCCAGGGGCACAGTTTGAGCCTAGTAACTCTCCATGATAAAAAACAGAGTGCGAGCCCCAGGTGGAGCACTTCAATTGAAAAATACAATGGTCACCGGATGGGTGGGGCATCAACAGTAATTATCTTCAACAATGAGAGATCAACAACAACACAACAGCCACAACAACAATGACAACGACAACGACAACGACGACGACGACGACAACAACAACACCAAACAACCACCAAAAACAACAACAACGACAACAACGACAGCAGCAACAACAACAGCAACAGCAACAACAACAACAACAACAACAACAACAACAACAACAAAACACCCACAACAAAACAAAACGATCTCTGGGGAGAAGGAGCATGGAGAAGGATGGGGGAGAAGGGTGGACGATCACAAAGGACCATGGAGGAGGAGGGTGGAGGAGTGAGGGTGCGCGGATGGGGTAGGAGCATGGGGGAGGGTGGAGGAGGAGAGTGGGTGACGAGGAGGGGGGGGAAGGGAGGGAGGAAGAAAGGGAGGGATGGAGGAGGGAGGAAGGAGAGAAGACGAGGACGAGGGCGATGGCTCATGGTCCTCCTGCTCGCTCCCTCAGTCTTCTCCTCCTCCTCCGCTTTCTCCTCCTCGCGTTCTCCCTCCGTTCCTCCCCATCCCTCTCGATCAAAAGATTGCTCACCATCAAGCGTAATCGTCTTGCCTGCTTTCTATAATCCCAATGCACCTCCATACCTCCCTCCTTCCTTCCCTCCTATTGCTATCCATCCTCCGTATCTTCGTTATCATTGCCCACCCTATCCTCCATTATCCTGGTATGCTGTGCCATCTTCTTCCTCGCTGGCATACGTACGAGGCAGTTGTACGAGTTGGTGCTTCAAGCCCGACGTACTCCTGCTCTCGACCGAAAACCAAGTCACCACTGCAAAGATCGTAGCTGCACGGCTCAACCTTGTTCAAGCGCCACTGCTGGCAAGTCGATCGGTATCCCTAACAAGGTGGCTCTGACAACCTGCATACAGGAAGGCCAAATGGGATTAGGCTGAGTAGGTATGGGTTGCGTGCGAGGCAGGCTTTGACGATCGATGAATGGTAGACTCCGCTTCTGCCACAATGGTTGAGCAGTACCTGGGGCGACCAGTACCACAATTGCAAACATGTTGCAGGGCGCGCGAACGAGCATATAGCAAGAGGCAGTGCCAAGGATCGATGATGGCATGGCGACACAGAGAGAATGATAAGGAGAATAAAAAGGGGGAGGAGGAGGAGGAGGAGGAGGAGGAGGAGGAGGAGGGTGGGAATGGAGAGAGAAGGAGCGAGGAGGACAGCGACGAGGATGAAGAGGGGGAGGGACAGGTGGGGGAATAGGACGAGAAAGGAGGACGACGGAAGGATCGGTACGAAGAGAAAGAAGGAGAAATAGAGGGAGAAAGGCGAAGATGACGAGAAAAAGAGAGAGAGGGAGGGAGGGATGTAGAAGGGGGGTTAAGTAAACACGAGGAAGAGAGGGAGGACGAGAAGGACGAGGATGAAGGATAAAGGGAAGGCAGTCTGTTTTCAACATGGCCAGTTAGTTCCACATTCCACACTCCGCGAGCTTGGGCTCGAAAGTTAATGTGGCATCCGGCCCTCCTCCTCTTCCAGCTCCCGTTCCTCCTCCTCCTCCTACTCCTCCTCCTCCTCCTCATCATCATCATCATCATCATCATCATCATCATCATCATCATCATCATTCTCCTCATCAGTATCATCATTATGATAATCAGCATCAGCATTACCATCAGTGCCATCAACACCACCATCATCATCAGCAGCAGCGGCATCATGATCATCAACATCACTATGATCGTCGTCATCATCGTCACCATCGTCGTCGTCATCATCATCGTCATCATCAGCATCATCATCAGCATCACCGTCATCCTCATATTCATCCTCATCAACAGCATCAGCACCAGCATCATCATCAGCAGCATCACCGACATCATCAACATGATCAGCATCATCTTCTTCTTCAACATCACCATCATCAGCATCATCAGCATCACCCTTATCATCATCAGCATCAGCATCGTCATCATCATCATCATCATGATCAGCAGCATCATCACAAGCATCAGCATCATCAACATCATCATCAACCGTACCATCAGGGCCAGCATCACCACCAAGATCATCATCATCATCATCATCAGCAGCAGCATCAGCACCATCATCATCGTCATCATCATCATCAGAAGGAGCAGCATCGTCATCATAATCATCAACAGCATCAGCATCAGCATCAGCATCGGCATTAGCATCATCGCCATCATCATCAGCATCAGCAGCATCATCCTTAACATACGCATAATCATCAACATCAGCGTCATCAGTATCAGCATCGTCATCATCATGAGAATCAGCATCATCATCAGCATCATCATGATCATCAGCAGCGGCAGCATCATCATAATTATCATCAGTACCATCACCATCATCAGCACACATCATCATCAACACCATCGTCATCGTCATCGCCATCACCATCGTCATCGCCATCATCATCGTCATCATCAGCATCATCATCAGAATAATCATCATCAACACCATCATCATCATCATGGTCATCATCATCATCGTCGTTATCATCATCACCCTCCTCCTTCTCCAACCCACCCACAGCCCCCCTCATCCCCGTGCCTCCTTCGCCCCCTCCCCTCTCCGCTTCCTCCGCCTACTCGTCAACCTCCCCGCCCCCGCCACTTCCGCCTCCTCTCCCTCCTCGTACTCCTCCCCCGCCTCCTAATTGTCCTCGGCCTCCTGTTACTCCTCCTCCTCCTCCTCCTCCTCCTCCTCCTCCTCCTCCTCCTCCTCCTCCTCCTCCTCCTCCGCCTCCTCCTCCTCCTCCTCCTCCTCCTGCTCCTCCTCCGCCTCCTCCTCCTCCTCCTCCTCCTCCTCCCTCTCCTCTGCGGCCTCCTCCCCCCCCACCCTTTCTCCTCTTCTTATTATTCGTCCTCCTCCTCCTCCTCCTCCTCCTCCTCCTCCTCCTCCTCGTCTTCCTCCTCCTCCCCAAAACCTTCTCCTCCTCCTCGAGGGGGAAGAGGAGACGGAGCAGGGGGCTGAAAGGAGAGGAGACCCCTCCACGTCCACGTGGAAAGGGATGGGCGAATCTCACCGTCATCACAGTGGCACGGGCTGTCCGAGGACCCAAGACTCCCGAGGGCGTCTCGGAGGGGATGGCTACAAGGATGGATCAGGGAGGAGGCTGTGGAGGGAGGAGGGAAGAGGATGGGGAGTGGGCAAGAAGAAAACGGAGGAGGAGGAGGAGGAGGAGGGGGAGGAGCACGAAGAGGAGGATGTGGAGGACGACGAAGAGGAGGAGGAGGAGGAGGAAGAGGAGGAAAACGTCCCCAGACGTCTGCAAAGGTCTCCAGGGGCCTCCCGAGGTCTCTAGAGAGGGAGGAAGTAAGAGAAAGGGTTCGAGGAGGAGGAGGAGGAGGAGGAGGAGGAGGAGGAGGAGGATCAAGGGCATCAAGCAAAAAAGGGAGTGAGAGGACTAGGGAGGAGAGGAGGAGGAGGAGGAGCATCAGCAGCAGCGGCAGCAGCAGCAGCAGCAGGGGAGCGAAGGAAGAAGGGAGCCAGGGGTTTGGGGCCCGAGCCCAGGGCCGATGTCTGGGGCCTGGAGACCGGGGCCCGGGGCTCCGGGCCCAAGGCCCGGAGGCCAGGCGCCCAGAGGCCGGTCCGAGGAGGGGCACGGCTTTTCCTCCAGAATGGGAGGAGGAGGAGGAGGAGGAGGAGGAGGAAAGGACCAGTGTACACCCAAGACGCTTTCATGATGTTGGATAAGCTGTCCCTCCAGGTTTCGTCTTCGTAGGTTCCTACACGAGATGGTTTCCACTCCTGGAAATGCCCCGCTGGAGAACAGTCGTCTGGGAATCCTCCACGATGCCAAAGCGCCCCTACTTGGACTTCAACGGCGCGAATCATTGTTACCGCTAGGTCTGGACAGTCCTGACTCACACCAGAACGCAGTTCCTGGGATTCCAGCGCCACGAATCAACGTCACAATTGCGCCCTGACGATCCTAAACCGTGCCAGAAGACCATTCCTGGGAGGCTAACCATAAGAATCCACTAGAACTGCTGCGCGGGCGCAAAAGCGAGAGCCACATTTCGAAAAAGAAGCGTCATACATCCCTGAAACTTTTGCGAACTTCAAAACGAATGCGCGCGGCGCGAAGGCGACAATGACATTGCGAAAAAAAAGACCTCCATCCGTGAAATTCTTACCAAAGTTTGAAAGCGAATGCGCGCGGCGCTGGGGCGAGAACCACATGTTGGAAAAGAACCACCCTTAATCCGTGAAACGTTTGCATGCTTTCGGAACGAACGTGCACGGCACCGCAGCGAAAAACACATGTTGGAAAATGACTGCCCTCCATCCGCGAAACTCTTGCAAACTCGTAAGACGAATGTGCGCGGCGCTCGAGCGAGAACCACATGTTGAAAACCAACCGCCCTCCACACTGAAACGATTGCAAACTGTGAAGACGAATGTGCGCGGCGCTGACACGATAACCACAGTTCGAAAGGAGAACCGCCCTGAAGCAGCGAAACCCTTGCATGTTCTTGACACGAATGCGCGCGGCGCTAAGGCGACAGCCACATTCGGACAGGACCGCCCTCCATCCGTGAAGCCCATGCACATTTTTGAAACGAATGTGCACGGCGCTGGAAGGAGAGCAACATGTTGAAATTCACCCGCCCTCCATACTTGAAAATGCTGCGCGAACCTTTGAGCTCAATGTGCGCAGCGTTAGAACGAAAGCCACACTTTGAACAGGAACTACCCTCCGCCTTCGAAACAGTTGCGAAGTGTGAAGAAGAATGGGAGCGGCGCCGACGTGAGAGCCACATTCTGAGAGAACGGCCCCCACTCCGTCTGTCAATTCTTGCAGGATGATGGAAAGAATGTGCGCGGCGCTGGGGGGAGAGCCGCAGTGTGAAAACCACCCCCCTCCATCCCTGAAACTGTTGCGCGAACTTCTGATACGAATGTGCGCGGCGCTGAGGCGACAACCACATTTCGAAAACAGCCCGCCCTCCATCCGTGAAACTGCTGCAAAGCTTCGGGATCATGGATGGTGGGAAATCCTCAGGCGAAACGCCCGGCCCGCCCTCCCGACACTTCTCGGGGTGTGAGAGGGAGGAGCTATTCCCCAAAAAGTGGTGGCACTCAGGGGTTCTAAGTTATATTGAAGCTACTGGGCCGTGTGGGCGGTATGGCGGTTGTGTAACCGCCGTCGCCCCCCCATCGCCGATCGACGCCGCCAGTCGTCTGGGCCGTCCGGGCGGTTGCGGCTATGCAACCGCCGTCGCCGCCACGTCGCCGCACCGTCGCCGCCTGTCGCCACCGTTGGCTTGAACCGCATAAAGCACACGCAAAAAGATCGCGCATGCGGCGTGCCTTTTGGTCGCTGGGTCAAATGAACTGCACCATGTGTATATATATGCATACATACATACATACAAACAAACAAACATACATACATATATACATATATACATACATACACACACATACATACATAAATACATACATACATACATACATACATACATCCATCCATCCATCCATCCATCCATACATACATGCATGCATGCATGCATGCATGCATGCATGCATGCATACATACATACATACATACATACATACATACATACATATACGCACACACACATACATACATATATACATACGTACGTACGTACGTACATACATACATACAGGCATACAGACATACGTACGCACATACATACATGCATGCATGCATGCATACATACATACACACATACATAAACACATACATACATACATACATACATACATACATACATACATACATGTATCCATACAGGCAGACAGACAGACAGACAGACAGACAGACAGACAGACAGACAGACAGACAGGCACACTCACACGTACATACATACATACATACATACATACATACATACAAACCAACAAACATACGTACATACATACATGCATGCATACATACATACACATACGTACACACATGCACACATACATACATATACAAATACATCGATATATACAGTGTGTAAAAAAAACACATACATACAACCACCGAATATGCACAACATGCATTGCACCACCCAGACTGCTCCACACAGATTGCAAAACATCTCTTGCGCATCACAGATTCTGTACAATATTCACTGAACCACGCGATTTGCACCATATAGACTGCACAGCATAAATTGCGCAAATCATGTTGGACGACATGTATCGAATCGTGCACAGTACACCAGGTAGACTGTTCCACATAGATTGCACAACATTACTGAACCACACATAGATTGCACCACACAATTTGCGCCACGCTAATTTCACAACATCGATCGCACCACTGATACTGCACCACAAGAGTGTCACACACACACACACATTGCAAATTATATCTTGTACCACATAGATTGCACCACGTCGATTGGTCCACATAAATTGCACAACATACATTGTGTCACATTGAATGCTGGAAACACACTGCGTAGGGCCCACGCTTGCTAACGATTATACTGGAGACAAAGGATGGAGGAGAAGGAAAGGAGAAACTGTACTGGTCGAAAAGCAACAGAGGGGGTCTCAGCTCGGTCCCCACTCGCCCGCTCACTGCGTCAGCAGGTCGAGGGGTGCCTCCCTCGCTGTGGAGGAGCAGCCGAAGCGGCAGAGCACCTCGAACTCCAAGTAGAACTTGCCAGCAAGGTAGGCCATGTTGCCCTGGTCGCTCCTGGATCCCCCTATCCCATCCTCCCTTGATTCCCCACCTAATTCATCATCATCCATCCCCCCTCGTCCCTTCACATCCGACCACCTGGTATCAAAATCATCCCCCTGACCTCTCTCACAGCTGATATTGCCTGTCACAGACGCGCCATGCGCCAGATAAAGAACGCATTATTCCCTGCGCGCGGAATGCCGCGCGCGCGAAAGTCTGCCGCCGCGGCTCTGCGTAGCTCGCTCGAGCTCCCGACGCCTCGCTCAGTGGTTCAACCGGTCCCCATCGACCCCGCCCGCCCTGCGCCCGTCCCCGCAGAACGAGCGACGCGCCGTTCTGGGGCAATGACGCAGATAAGATGCTAAGATTCGCGCGCGCTCCCCCGCCCCCCTCCCCCCTCCCCGTGAGCTTCGGCAACGTCACAACCCCCAAAGGGGGTGCCTGCGCCGGCGCGTGCGATGACAGGGCGACGCCTGCACCTCATCATTTGACGCGACGGAAGAGCCTGCACTCTACCGTGGGCGGCGCAAGAGCCGACAGAAGCCAATGCCCGCGGCGCCCGCACTAAAAGCGCGACAGCGAGAAGATGGCTCCCGTTGTTCATGTGACGCGCCCGCGGAGCCCGCGCCTGCGTCCACGCAGACAAGGCGACTGCCCCCGAGGCGCCTGCGCAGACAGCTCGATGGCGGGGCGATGCCGGCGCAATGATATTTGACGCGCCTGCGGCGCCTGCGCCGAAACATGCGCAGCGCATGCGCTGATGAAGCGACTGATCCCGCGGAGCGCGTTATAACACCGCCATGGCGGGGCGATGCCTGCTCACGATTATTTGAAGTGCCTGCGGTGCCTGCGCCGAGTCACGTGGACACTGGCTGGAGCAGAACAGAACGGTTGCACCGCGCGCCTTCGGCGCGAAGTCGCTGGTCTTGCGCGGAGCAGACAGCAGCCGCGGAAAGTATCGAAGCCCGCGCTCGAGAGGTCGATCTTGCGACGGTTCACTGGCGCGCCCACATCACCTCCAGGTCGCGGAGCCCAGGCAAGGCGTGGCTGCAATTTGGTCTCGGAATATAGAAATCAGGATTCAGCCAACATGGCCATGGGCGGCATCACCGTAGATGCGATGATGACGGCGACGGCGGCGAAAGGCGTTGACGACGAGGCAACCCTCGCGGCCGCGATCACAAATCACTCAATGGGGTACCCCTGCTTCGTTTGGATAACAATATGAAAATGGTAATGCGCCTGCAGGGTGCGTTCCGACCGAAGTTCCGGAAGGAATCCAGCCGTGGCGACGAAAAGTTTCTGGGAGGCCCGCAGCAGGGGAAAGCAATCGAAATCCTCGAACTTCGATGATCGATCCTCCTCCTCCTCCTCCTCCTCCTCCTCCTCCTCCTCCTCCTCCTCCTCCTCCTCCTCCTCCTCCTCCTCCTCCTCCTCCTCCTCCTCCTCCTCCTCCTCCTCCTCCTCATCATCATCATCATCAGCAGCAGCAGCAGCATCATGATAATCAGAATCACCATCATCAGCATCATCATCAGCAGCAGCATCAGCATCATCATCATCATCATCATCATCCTCATCGTCATCGTCATCATCATCATCATCATCATCATCATCATCATCATCATCATCATCATCATCACCATCACCATCACCATCACCATCACCATCACCATCAGCATCATCATCATCCTCATCATCGTCATCATCATCATCATCATCAGCATCATCATCATCCACACACTTGTCCTCATCCTCATCATCACCACCACCACAAAAATCATCATCATCAGCAGCAGCATCAGCATCAGCATCAGCATCGACATCATCATCATTATCACTATCAGCAGCAGCAGCAGCAGCATCATAATCAGAATCGTCGTTTTCATCAGCAGCAGCATCATCATCATCGTCATCATCATAATCATTAGCATCATCATCAGCAGCAGCATCCTCAGCATCGCCGTCGCCGTCGCCGTCGCAATCGCCATCAGCAGAAGCTGCAGCATCAGCATAAGCATCAGCATCATCATCATCAGCAGCAGCATCATCATCTTCGTCATCATCAGCAGCAGCAGTAGCAGCATCCCTCGTCCACGTCCTCCTCCACCCTCCTCACCGCCCTCATCCGCGCGATCGAAGCTGATCCACAGCATGCTGACCGAGGGCCCGATCGGCAGCAGCCAAGTCCTGGACCCACCGTCTCCTCCTTCCCACCCTCCCCCCCCTCCCCCCGCTGAGAATGAGGCAGCACGAAGACAAGCTCGGAGGAATCTCGAGCGGGCACCTCTGAGAACCCGCGGGTCTGGAGGGTCACATCGGACGCAGCGGTCGCCTCGAAGCGCTGCGGAGCGCTCTTACCGCGTTCCCGCACGCCCTGGAGCGAGCTATCTTCGTCCAGGGCCTGCCTCATCCTCCTCCTCGCCCTCCCCCTCCCCATCCAGAGACCCTCCAAAGACCTCTGGAGACCCCCGGATACCCTGGAAGACCCCCCCCCCCCCGGGAAGCGGAGGGGGCCTCCGCAGACTTCCGGCCACCACCCGAGGGCCCCACGGGGGTGCCTGTGGGCACAGCGCAGGGACCTCCTGGGGTCGGGGGGGGGCAGAGCTCCCCGGCCCGAGGGCCCGATCTGACCGCGGCTGCAGTCCTCTTCACTTCCCACACTTCGCGGCCGATGACCACGTGGAACTCGTCCCTGTGCCCCGGCGAGTCGAGGATCGTGCCCTGCTCGGAGGTGACGATGCTGCTAAGCGTCGAGTACACGAAGGGGAGTCTGGTGCCCCACGTCGACGGCGGCGTCGCAATGGCGTTGACGTTGTCGGTCAGCGAGAGCGCGTCGTTCCAGTGGTCGGCGTCGTTGAGGGTCTCCATGAAGTCCCTGGCCTCGCCCCATGTGATGGACACGGCTGGATAAGCGTACCGCAGAAGCATAGCCATGCTGACGTCGCTCTCGGCGCCGATCGCGATCAGCTCGTCCATCGTCTTGTCCTTCAAGACGCTGTCCGAGTTACCGTCGCAGACCTTCCAGGAAAGGTTGCTCGTGCTCTGGAGATTGTTCCACCCACCCAGCGCGAAGCCGAGCTTGTTGGTCGCGAAGGTGCCACCGTTCAAATTGAGGCACTCGTTGGACACGTAGCACCACGACTGACCTGCGCTAGCATCGCTCGTCTCGCTCGGGAAGGAGTACAGGTCGACGTTGACGCAGGAGTTGTTTTTGAAGTTCTTGAAGAAGTTGTTGCAGACCTGATGCGGCAAGCCCGCGATGGGCTCGGTGGGAGCGTAGGCCTCGGAGGCGCCGTACTTGGTGAGGAAATACAGCTCCTTGGCGCGGCCGCAGGAGGCGAGGTTGTCGTAGTAGACCGCCGCAAACTCCAGGCAGTCGCAGGCGGTGCTCTTGGCCTCCTGGCGCTGGCCCGCGAGGGCCCGCGCGAGCGAGAGGCTGGCCAGAGCAGAGGCCGCCTTCCGCGGGCGACGAGCCTATCCATATTCGTGCCCTCGCGGTCTGGATGCCGCGGCGCGACCCCACGGGCACACGGTCCCACGGGCACGCTCTGCACAGGCCAGACGCGCAGAGCCGCCCTCCGTCCGTGGGGCCGTGGCCGAGGAGGCCAGGCCGCGAGGCTGTGGATATGCATACGGTTCCCGCCCACGAGCCTTGGACATCATGGTCTCGAGGCCGATGTGGAAGAGGGCAAAGTTTTGGTGCAGTATCCGCGCGGCGCTCGGAGGAGTCTTGAGGTTGCGAAAGCAGAGGCGCGGGGAGGAAGGGCAGGGGGAGGGAACTTGCCAGAAAGGTGTAGGGCGGTTAGGGGCGGGACGAGGGAGAGGAAGGAGGAGCGGGAGGGTGGAAGGAAAAGGGGAGCGTGCAGGTGGAGAACCTTGAGGAGGGAGGAGGTCGAGTGAGCGTCGGCCCCACTGGCCGACTTGCCAACCTGGGTGGGGATGTGTGCATGCTCTTCCGAGTGTCGCGGGGGGCTGTCCCCGCCTGGGAGTGCGGGCCGATGGGGCTGCAATAACATGGCCCAGTGGGGATGGGGCAGGCTTAGGTCAGGCGTTGCTGAACGAGGGGGAGGGGGAGGAGGAGGAGGAGGAGGAGGAGGAGGAGTAGGAGGAGGAGGAGGAGGACGACGAGGAGGAGGACGACGAGGAGGAGGAGGAGGAGGAGGAGGAGGAGGAGAAGAAGGCGGAGAAGGAGCAGGCGGAGGAGGAGGAGGAGGAGGAGGCACGAAGAAGACGAGCGCGAGAAAGAGCACCAACCGGAGGCACACTACACCTGAGAGCGCCCCAAGAAAGCCCCGAGAGACGATTTGTCGGGCTCCGAGGGTGAGGCGAATTGTAACCTTCACGTTCTCTTCATCGAAGTTGCGCCTCAAATGTTTTCGAAATGGCCCCAATAAAGCTCCGAAATGATTCCAAGAGGTATTCGATAGGTTCTTCCCAGAGATCTCCATGGTCGTCGATGTTGCTTCCCCTCTGCCGACAGCTCACGTGGGCATCGTTCCTGTATGGGATGATGGGGGCGAACCTTCCTCCTGGAAGTTGCTGGAACCCTCGGGCCGCCAGAACCCATCCTGGGGCGCTCCGTGACCAGGATCTCGAGGCGGCTCCAGCGGTGGCGACGCGGTGCCCCAGAGAGAGCGAAGGCGGGGGGGCCTCGGGCCTGGGCGCCACCACTCTCTCTTGCATTGCGGCGCGGCAGGGGCAGCCCGCACGCGCGCTCGGGCGGCCCGGGCCACGGGAAGCGGCCGGGGGAAAAAGACGGGCCGAAAGCGGCCGCGAGGGAAAGAGGGGGGGTGGGAGGGCACCCGGGCGCCATCACACGCAACACAGAGCTGCACGGGTCTCCCCGCCTCTGGCCGCTGGACGGGGGGCCTCTCCTGGCCCCTCTGGGGCCGCAAGGCGCAGGGAGTCCGGCGCGGGCCATGAACAACGGCGCTGGAGAAAGGGTCGAGGACCGGAGGGGGGGGGGCCAGCGTCACGAGAACGACGGCAGCGCCAGAGAAGGGGGGACGAGCCAGAGCTCAAGGAGCAGGAGGAGGAGGCCCCTCCTCCTCCTCCTCCTCCTGCTCCTCCTCCTCCTCCTCCTTCTCCTCCTCCTCTTCCTCCTCCTCCTCTTGGAGCATCCTGGGGCCCTCCGCCTCACCCTATGCCCCCTCGCCTAGCCCGCGGGGGCCACCATCACCGCCGCGGGCCCGCGATCGAAAACCCACGAGAAGAGGGGGAGCAGGAACTGCAAGAGGAAGGGGAGGGGCCAAACGCGACCCACTGCCTAATTACTGATGGCACGCAAGGAAGGAGGCAAAGCCTTGCGCCAGGAGGGAGGGGGAGGGCGAGGAGGAGCAAGGACAGGAGGGCGAGCGGGAGGTGGGACAGCAGGATCCTGGTGGACTTCGCGGCCTCGAGGGCGGCTGGTCCCTGAACGAGTTGGAAGGCAAGCCCACCAAGGGCCAAAAAGCAGACTTGTGATGACAGATCCCGACGGTGAGCTCGACACTGAGCAGACAGGTGGCACAGCAAGAGCGGGAGCGGGCACGGCAGGCGGACGGCGACGACGGCAGCGGCGGCGGCGGCGGTGGCGACGGCGACGACGACGACGCCTGCCGACTCCCGCGCCTGCCCATGCCGCCGAGGGGCCGCCAAGGGCCGCCGAGGGCTCTCGCCGAGGGCTCTCGCCGAGGGCTCGCCGAGGAGCCACCGAGGGGCCACCGAGGAGCCGCCGAGGGGTCGCCGAGGCGCCGCCGAGGAGCCGCCGAGGGGCCGCCGAGGGGCCGCCAGCGAGGGGCGGTCGAGGCGCCGCCAGCGAAGGGCGGCCGAGGGGTCGCTGGCGACGGGCCGCCGAGGGGGGCGCCTGCGGGGGCCGCCGCCGCGGGCATGGCGCCCGTAGCCGGGCCCCCCGCCGAAGGGGAGACGGGTCGGGTGTTGCCAGAATCGTCCCTGGCCCAAGGTGCCCCTTGGGCACCATGGGGCACCGCGGGGGCGCACCTTGGGAGACACCTTGGGAGGCACCTTGCGGCCACAGACACCTCCAGCAACCCCCGAGCGGGGGGGGGGAGGGGGAGGGGGGGCACTGGCGGCCCGCCGGCCCGCGCCTTGGACAACCCCGCCGAGGTGGCACAGAGCGCTGAGCGCGGCGCTCCCGCGCGCGCGTGCCGCTGTCGCGTTCTGCGCACGCGCGCGCACGGCCTGCCGCGCGCCTCGCCGCCGTCGCCGCAGCCGCCTCCGCCGCCGCTGCCGTCGCTGGCGTCCGCGTCCTCTGGGCTGCGATACGATCGCACCGAAGAAGGCAGCCATCGTGCTACCATAGGGAGCGCCAAATGAGGACCGACGGGGCTTTTCTGGCCACAGTTAGCCTCGGCTACGAACAGGCTCTCCGCCCTAGATCTGGGGGACGGCCCGACAAGCATTTCACCTCCTGGGCTCAAGGTGTCCTTATCTCAGCGTCTTGACTGGAAGGGGCCCCGCATGGCGGGCCCTCGCCGAGAGGCCACGCGGCGTGCGCCACGCAGAAGAGAGGGGGCTGGGCGAGGGGGGCAGGGCCTCTGAACGGGGGGGCCGGCTTCTTCAAGGAGCCCAGGGATTCTGGTTGTTGTGGGTCTGTCTGCCGCCACGGCAGCGACGACAACGCTGCAAGCGAAGCGGCAAAGGGGCACGCGACCCAGGGGCCCAGGGGGCCTCCAGGCAGGCCTCCGGGGCGGGCGGGCTGCCGAGAAGCCCCCTGCCCTCTCGGAGGGCCGATCCCCTCGTGCCACCCCCCTCCGACCGCCCACTGCGCTGCGCACCTCCTCCTCCTCCTCCTCCTCCCTCCTCCTCCTCCTCCTCCTCCTCCTCCTCCTCCTCCTCCTCCTCCTCCTCCTCCTCCTCTCCTCCTCCTCCTCCTCCTGCCCCCACGTGCGGGCCCTGGCGCGCCATCGAGGCCGAGATGGCCGCCTCGGCAACGACCCCCCCCCCCCGGGCGCCAGAGGGTCTGAAGCCACTGTGCGAACGCGTCTCGTGTCACAACAAGAACTACGCGAAGCCCTGCGCAAACAAGCGTGAACATGTGCTTCGCCAAAGAGGTACGCCACATCGATGCACTCCTTCCTCTCGAAGCCATCCGTGAAATTCCTGCTACTCCTCCTCCATGCCGCGACGTGGGGCCAACATACCGGGCTCCCTCGCCTCGTGTTCAAGCCGCGCTGATCGAATCCTGCCGCGGCCAGGTCAGCTCGCCGGGGCGAGCCGCGCAGCTGCTGCACCGGTGGCCGGACTGCGCGGGCGGTGTCTCGTGGCATCCTCCACGTACACGCTGACGACAACGGGGCCTGCTTCCCCTCGGGGCCCCCGCGCGCCCAGGACGCTCCTCAGCGGCTCCAGCACCGCGCCGGCAGGCACCCCGCCAGGACCTGCCGCGAGAGGCAGGCCCCCGTGCGTGCTCCAGCGCGCGCCCAGGGCCTCCTCGCGGGCGGAGTCCCGCGGCTCCCGCGTCTCCACCAGCACCTCCCAGGTGGGGCGGCTGTGGTGCTGCCGCGGCGGCGCTGCGGCCGCGGCCCCTGCGCCGCCGTTCGGCCCCAGCAGCGCGGGCGACATCTCCAGTTTGGTCAGGGCGTCCCCGAGCGAGTCGTAGACCTCCTCGTCACTGCACGCGGCCATCAACTGAGGGTCCGCTGGAAACTCCACGATGTAGCGCTCGCTCAGGTCTCCCGAAACCTCGCATATCGGCACCAGCACCCGCCGCAGCCGGTCTCGGCGCATCGCGGGCCGCAACGACTCGCACAACCCGCAAACGTACTCTTCGACCTCCCTGAGGCTGCTCCACCACGAGGGCCGATGTCCCAGCACGGGCTTCCTGTGGAAGCTGTCCTCAGGGTACACGCCTCGCACTCTCAGAACAGTGAAGAGCGCGCTCTGAAGGAACAGCACCAACGAATCGTACACATCATCTTGCATATCTTGGAGATCTGGACCTTGTCAAAACTCTTTGCACGTCTCGCGGAAGGCCCATCTCGGTGGCGCTAGGACGCGCAGCAGCTGCGACTTGACTCTTGAGCCAAAATGGCTACGGATGATGATGCTTATGATGATGATGGTGATGATGGTGATGATGATGATGATGATGCTGATGATGGTGATGAAGATGAAGATGAAGATCAAGATGAAGATGAAGATGAAGATGAAGATGAAGATGAAGATGAAGATGAAGATGAAGATGAAGATGAAGATGACGATGATGATGATGATGATGATGATGATGATGGTGATGATGATGATGGTGATGATGATGATGATGATGCTGATGATGATGATGATGATGGCAGTGATGATGATGATGATGATGGTGATGGTGATGATGATGATGATGATGATGATGATGATGATGATGATGATGGTGATGACGGTGGTGGTGGTGATGATGATGATGCTGATGATGATGATGATGATGATGATGATGATGATGATGATGATGGTGAGGGTGATGGTGATGATGATGAGGATGACGAAGATGATGGTGATGATGAGGAGGATGACGAGGATGATGGTGATGATGATGCTGGTGCTGATGGTGATGATGATGATGATGATGGTGGTGGTGGTGATAGTGATGGTGATGATGATGATGCTGATGATGATGATGATGATGATGATGATGATGAAGATGAGGATGACGAGGATGATAGTGATGATGATGCTGATGATGATGATAAAATGATACTGGTGAGGATCCCTCAGGACCCCATCCTGCAACCACCGACAGGAGGGGCACCTCGCCCTGACATCGGCCGTGCGTGGCCGACGGACCGCCGGCACCAGGCCCCCCCGAGGGGGGCACCGCACGCTTCTGGGCGGGGTGGGCGAGCCTTCGTGGCAACTTACGGGAGCCTCCCATGCCATCTTGTCGGCTCTTGCAGATCGACGCTTGTCGACGCGAGTCGACGCTAAACCGACGCTCATCGACGCTAACAGGCGCCAAATCGGCGCCGTCGCATCGACTCCTGGACGCTCCTCGACGCTGACCGACGCCAAAGGCGGAATGAAGAGGGTACACCAGGCTCCCATGAGTTGCTACCGAAGTGAACCCAAGCCCGCTCGGCGGTGTATGAGAAACGACTGCCGAGTCGTTTGCTCGCGGCCCCGTGGCCCCAGAATCCTTCGTCGCCTCCCAGATGGGGGAGGCATCCCGGGACCTCAAGACGGACCTCTGGAGATCTCCGTGAGACCCCCTCCTCCATTCCTTCTCCTTATAGAGAACTCCTCCCTGTCGCACCGCGAGGCCAGTTTTTAGGGCGGGCCGGGCGTTTCGCCTGAGACTTCCTCACCATTTATGACTCTGAAGCGGTAAAAATGACAACAGCTTCACAGATGGAGGACGGGTCGCTTTCAACATGTGGCTCTCGCCTTAGCGCCGCGCACATTCGTTTTAAAACATGCAAGAGTTTCACGGATTGAGGACGGGTGGTTTTCAAAATGTGGCTCTCGCCTTAGCGCCGCGTACAATCGTTCTAAAAAATTGCAAGAGTTTCGCGGGCTGGGGGCGATTCCTTTTCAAAATGTGGCTCTCGGCGTAGCGCCGCGCACATTCATTTTTAAATTTGCAAGAGTTTCACGGACTGAGGGCGGTTCCTTGTCAAAATGTAGCTCTCGCCGTAGCGCCGCGCACATCCGTTTTTTTGAATTTGCAAAAGTTTCACGGATTCGCATGATCAACGTACCAAAAAAATGTATAGGAAAGATTCTGGATTATGCGGGCGCAACAGTTATGTTGATTCGCTGTGTTGAAGTCCCAAAACTGGCGTTCCAGCACGATTCTGGATCGTCAAAACGCAACAGTCAGATTGATCCGTGGCGATGAAATCCAGAGAAAAAAATGTTTCGGCACGCTTCAGGGTCTTCAAACGGTTGCCTTCCAACGAGGCAGTTCCCTCAATGGAAATGAACCGTTGCAGGGGCCTATGAAGAGGGAGCTTGGAGGGAGGGTCCATTCCAACATCGTTGATGACTTTTGGGTTTCCACTGGTCCTCCTCCTCCTCCTCCTCCTCCTCCTCCTCCTCCTCCTCCTCCCGGGGACCTCGATCCGAAGGCCCACATCTGGCGCTTCTAGCAAAATCGGGCCAGAACCTCTGGGGCAGCTCCAGCCCTGCTGGGGCCATCTCCAGGCCGGGGGGCCGTCGAGAAGACCCGGGGCCCCGCACACGGGGGACTTCGATGTACCAGGACACTGGCGGACCCCAAGGAAACCGAAGCCGTGGGTCGAGTTAGCCCCCACCCTAGAGGAAAGAGAACTATGCACATACACCGATCCTGGCCAGGCCCATCCTGAGCCCAGGATCGGTGCATACGCCTTCTTACCTTGGATAGGAAGGTATATGCACCGATTCTGGGTCAAGGATGGACGGTGTCAGGATCGGTGCATGTGTATAGTTCTCTTCTCCCGACACTCGTCGTGTCGTCCTCTCCGGGTGGACTCGGCACAACCCTGGTTCGCACCGCCTCGGCTGGCCCGAGTAAAGGGGTCGACGAAGGGTTAAGTTAAGTCGGGCGTGTCCCCCTACAGGGGGAGTTGCGACGAAACAAAAAAAATACCCAAAAAATATTCCCACATGATCGAAAAATACTCAAGAAATATTCCTCTGACTATTTTTGGACTATTTTCGAATATTCCCCCTGTAGAGGGACAGGCCCGACTTAAACGAAGGGTCGAGGAAAGGAGGGGAGAGCACAAGGCAAAGGGAGGGAGGGAGGAGAAGAAGGCAGCAGCCAAAGCAAGCAGTGCAGGCGCGGCCCGAGAGGCCTGGCCCACCAAACCACGGACAGGCCAGAGAGGATCGGAGGTCCGCGCGGATTCCTCGGATCGGCGTTGGGGCCCTCTGGCGGCGCCTCCAGCGCCGCCCCTGGCGCGCTCCGCGCGCTAGGGAAGGGGGCCCAGCGCCGATCCGAGAAATCCGAGCGGACCTCCGAGTTGTTCTGCTTGCGTCATTGTGCTTCCCCTCGTGAGCTCCGTTCGTGATCTTCCACGACCTCGGATGCTCGTTCTGGAAACCTTCCTGGAGCCACTCGCTACACTCAAGCGACAGGCGTCGATGCTGCGTCGAACGTCCGTCGAATTTGAGTCGAACTTGACTCGAACTCGAGCCGAGCTAGAGCCGAGCCAGTGTCGAACTGGATCCGAACCAGAGTCGAACAGATCACGCAGATGTGCACCAGGACGGTCCTCAAAGCGACCATCTAAGCGACCCCTCGACTTTCTGACGGCGTCCTCCTCCAGCGAAGTAACGACAACGGTGCGAAACCCTGCATGACCCGCACATCAGACAAGATTACCATCCAGCGTTTTACCATCAGGACCTGAGCTCCGCGCGCGCGGAGACGCACCCAGAGTGGAGCGTGCGCGTGCGAGCGATGGCGGCTCAAGCGAGCCCAAGAGTTTCAAAAAGATCCGCCCTCCAGTTGCACCACACGTGCCCCAAAAAAGCTGAAGCGCCATCCCCGCCTGCAGAAGCAGTGCTGCTGATCCTGTGCCCCGGGAGCTCCCAGAACGCCCCTCCTTTCCCCCAAAAGCCAGAGACGACGCCCTGAGCGGTTTTTAGGATGACCAGCCCAGGAGCCGCCCTGGAGGAGGAGGAGGAGGAGGAGGAGGAGGAGGAGGAGG